CTGTGGGGAGAGACAAAGCGAAGAATTATTATTACTGTGAGGAATGGCGTAGCAGGTGATTGAATAATTAGTATGTGCGTGCATACGTACGTGCATGTGTGTGTATGTGTATATATACATACATACAGACATATACATATATGGTTACATACATACATGCGTACATACGTACATGTAAAGACACACATGCATATATGTATGTATATATATATATATATATATATATATATATATATATATATATATATATATATATATATATTATGTATACATATATATATATATATATATATATATATATATATATATATATATATATATATATATATATATATATATATACATACATATATATACACACATATACTTTTTGTGTGTTTTTAAATCGTATGAATACTAACATTTACAGACATAGACGCGACTAAGACACAATAATGACACTAAGATCAATATTAGTTTCAATATTAACATGACATTAACAGAAGCAATGAAAACGACGTCATTAAGACTAATGAAAATAATACTGTTTAGTACTAAAATAAATATGAAGAAAGTGGTAAATGGGAATATTTCAGCTTAATTAACAAAGCTAAGAATAACAACGATAAAATATAATAACAATAGTAAAATTTACAGTGATGATTATAATGAAATATCTTCAAATGATCATAATATCAATGATGATAATAATAGTGACTATGATAATGATAAGGACAATGATAATGATGATGATAATTATCATACTAACAACAATCACAATGAAAAATGAACATGATAATGATAAAATTCACGGTGCTATCAATAATAACAACAATAGTAATTAAAATAATGAAACACACATCATGCAATTCTGAAGCATCATTATCACCATGCACTAATTCGACTAAGTGGCATTAATAAAGCTGTTTTATTATCGATTATTTTTTATAAAGTTTATTAAAAAGGCAACGAAAGCGGATTCACAACTGCAGGCACAGTGGTGGAGATGTTAAGGCTTGCATCTTCAGACGATGCGCTTGCAAGCTCATGCAATGCAAGTACAAGCATTCAACGTGCAGATCTGAGAACGCGATATTCATTTTTTGCAATGCGTTTCATGATACATATATCGCTAAATTGAAAAAAAAATAATTATATATACATGTCGATATATACATATACATACTAACAGGTAAATAAACACGTGTGTGTATATTGTTCGTGTGCGTGTGTGTTCGTGTGTTTGTGTGCGTGCGTGTGTTTGCGTGCGTGGACGTTTGTTTGCGCGCGTGTGCGTGTGTTTGCGCGCGTTTACGTGTGTTTCGGCATGTGATAGATACGAAAATGAGACGGAAAAGGAAATTAAAAAATATATATATATAACGGTTCGTAGATACTCACACACGCAACGCTATCTCTTTCGCCCAACGATAGAAAACGGGATTGGGGAAAAATTACACGGTTTTCACACTTTTTTTTTCAATTAAAGAAAACGTACGTCATTTTCTGTCACTTTTCCATGCTTTGATTTATAGAGTAATGACGTCGCGCTTTGATAACATTTGTCTTTTTTCGGTATTTCAACTCTATGATATTTTCTTTAGCGAAGAAGTTGAAGAAATTAGAATAATCGATAAATAAAACAAAAAATGAAAAAAAGGAGACAAGACAAAACGAGAAAGAAAGAAAGGTAGAAAGGAAGATAGGAGGAAAGAAAACAAATTAAGAGATGAAAGAGAGAAGAGGAGAGGAAAGGAAAGGAGAGGAAAGGAAGGGAAAGAAAATATAAAAAAGAAAAAGAAAAAAAAGGAAAATATAAACGAAAAGAAAAAAAGAAAAGAAAAGAAAAGACAATATAAAGAAAAAGAAAAAGAAGAAGAAATAGACACAGAATTAAAGAAAAGAGAAAAAAAACAGAAAAGAAAGAAATGAAAGAAGTGAAAAGAAAAGGAAAAAAGAAAAAAACAGAATGAAAGGAGAAAATAAAAGAAAAACAGGAGAAAAGAAAATCATAGAAAAGAACAAAAAGAAAAACAAAAGAAAGGAGAAAAGAAAAAGAAAAGAAAAAAAGAAAAGACAGAAAGAAAGGAGAAAAGAAAAGAATAGAAAAGAATTTAAAAAAAGTAAAAAAAGAAAAAAAAGAAAAAAAAAGAAAAACGAAAAAAAGGGAGAAAAGAAAAAGAAAAAAAACAGAACGAAAGGAAGAAAGAAGAGAAAAGAAGAGAAAAGGAAAGAAAGGAAAAGAACAAAACAAATAAGCTAAAAAACAAAATAAAGCTAAAAAAAAATGTTTGCACGAAGCAACATCGTATCCAACAACACTCCTTCACCACAACATCAAGTCTAGATTGTATTAACGACTACAAAAATTACGCATTTTTTCGGGGAGGGGGGGGGGGGTAACATTATGCTAATGAGACGTTACCCTACACGCAAAGGAAAAAATAAATAAAATAATTGAGAGAGAGAGAGAGAGAGAGAGAGAGAGAGAGAGAGAGGGAGGGAGAGAGAGAGAGAGAGAAAGAGAGACGAGATAGAGAGAGAGGAGAAAAAGAAAGAGAAGGAGAAGGAGAAAGAGAAAGAAAAGTAGGAGAAAAAAGAGAAAGAGAAAGAGAAACAAAAAGAAAATGATACTGAAAAACGAAAAAAATAAAAAAAACAGAAAAAAGAAAGATAAAAAGGAAAAAAAGAGAAAAAAGACAAACAGACGAAAACAGGTGAAAGACTCGCAAAAAAAAAAAAAAAAAAAAAAAAAAAAAAAAAAAAAAAAAAAATCATCCGCCGGTCAGCTGTTCTGCCGCGATCTGTCAGCCCCGGCCTCCGTCAGCCCGGCACCCTCGTCAGCCCTCGAGTGTAATAGCTGACTCTGCAACCGACGTACTTTGCTTATTAGGCCGAGTTTTGTGCTCTGTTTAGTCAGATTCTTCATTAGCTTGTTTTTTTGTGTTTTTGTTTTGCTTGTTTCGTGTTTGAGTTTTATTTGTTGGTTATTTTATTGTTTGTCTGTTTATGTAGTTATTATTAGCTTTATCATTGTTATCTTCCTCCTCCTCCTCATCGTTATCATCATCATCTTCCTCATTCTCACTAATGTATCATCACCATTACCATCATTATCACCATCATCCTCACTATCATCATCACCATCACCATCATCCTCATCGCCATCACTAGGATCATCACCATCATCATTATTATCACCTTCATCATCCTCACTAGCATCATTACCATCATCCTCATCCTCTTTATCATCATCCTCATCCTCACTAGCACCATCAACATCAACATCAACATCATCATCATCACTACGATCACCATCATTATTAAGATTATTATTACCATCGTCATTATCATCAGTATCTTTGTTATCACTACCAACATATTTTTCAAGTTGTTTCCTAATTAAAAAAAAAATGAAAATGATGTTGATAACAATGTTGATAGATATTTTAATCAGTGATAATAAATCAGATGCATATAATAATAATCCTTGTCTCGACATTATGATATCAGTTATCAAGTATTAACAACAAACACGTAATGTAAATGATAACAAAACGATAACAAGAATTATAAAATTATTATTATTATTATTATTATCATTATTATTATTATCATTATCATCATTATTATTATTATCATTATCATCATTATTATTATTATCATTATTATGATTATTATTAATGTTATTACTATATTTTATTTATTTATTTATTTATTCATTTTTAAAGAATATCACACCCAAACAAGGCAAGGTTACGAGCCTATTTTTTCTATTTTAATCATGTATTATTATTATCATTATAATAATAATAATTATTATTATTACTATTATTTTATTTTATTATTATTATTATTATTATTATTATTATTATTACTATTATTTTATTTCATATTTATTTATCTATTTATGAATACATTTTTTAAAAGAATGTCACACCCAAACAATACAACGTTGACCGAAAACAAAGACCGAAGGTTACGAGCCTATTTTTTCTTCTTTTAATCATGCAAACTTATTTTTCTTTACCAGAGTTATTACACGGCTGGCCTCTGCAACAGTTCCAGGTGCAAATTGATGGTGATTTGCATAACCGCATAATTATAGTAAGATAGATTCGTCATTTGACCGAAGTCCAGAGATAATCATACGCCAGCCAGCGAATCTCATTTTCTATTTTTTTTTCCTAAGTGCGAGTTGTGTACATGCATGTACACAACTCGTGTGTATGTATGCATGCATGCATATATACATACACACATACATGCATATACATGCATGGGTGTATACATGTATATATGCTTAATACATATATACGTTCAAACACACACACACACACACACACACACACACACACACACACACACACACACACGCACACACACACGCACACACACACACACACACATACACACACACACACACACACACACAAGCACACACACACACGCGCGTTTGCTTATTTGTTATGTGAGGGTCTGTGTGTTTTATGTATACAACTTAGCGCTGGCTGGAAGTGGAAGTAGTAGCAGTAGTTGTAATAGTAGTGGTAGTAGTAGTAGTAGTAATAGTAGTAGTATTAATAGTAATAGTAGTAGTAGTAATAGTAGTAGTATTAATAGTAATAGTAGTAGTAGTAATAGTAGTAGTATTAATAGTAATAATAGTATTAATAGTAATAGTAGTAGTAGTAATAGTAGTAGTATTAATAGTAATAATAGTATTAATAGTAATAGTAGTCGTAGTAATAGTAGCAATATTAGTAGTAATAGTAGTAGTAGTAATAATAATAATAATAGCAATAGTAATAGTAACAGTAATAGTAGTACATGTAACAGTAGTGGAAGTAACAATAATAATAATAAAGATAACAGTACTACTAATAATACTGATGATGCTAATATTAATGATAATAATAATAATGATCGTAGCAATGATAATGATAATAATACCAACAATAATAATAAAGATAATAATAATAATAATAATCATAAGAATAAAAATAACACCAATAACAATA